ATAATTGTGTCGCATCATTCCAGTGATATTAGAATCACCAAAACATTAAGTTTTGTATTCCTCTTTGACATAATGCATGTGCTATTAGTAGCATAGCTATGGTTGGGGGATGTGGGAGGAGAATTTGAAAATCACCCTAGGCCCCACTTGAGGGGGGACCCAAAATGAGTGTTAGAAAATTTTTTTTTCACATTAAATATTACCCCATTATCTCATGTCATGATGTAGAATGTCAAAATGCAGGGGCTCTTAAAGAAGCCAGGGCCCTCACAGGCCCACAAATTCCTCGCTACGTCACTGTGTGTCATACATTCTAGCTTTTTTTTTTCCTTTTTACCATTAATGCATCAGTTAAAGATAGTATTACTAGACAATTAGTTAGAGGACAAAAAATAGACACTTTGAAAATTAGGTTTACTATTAAATCTATCAAACTTGTCATTGACAGTAGGCTGCTAAATTGCTAAATTAAGTTGCATATTTTGTCAGATGAAGTGAATTTTTGCAGTAGTATGTCATTCGCGCAAGCATATGTGTGGAGCACTATTTTCTTCACATTTAACTTTGTGGGAATGCCTCTCACTGAGTGATGGAGAGACTGTTTCTCTCTTATGTCAGTTGGACTGTGCTTTTAATTTCTATAAATCAAATAAGAAAATAAAGATAAAATGTTATTTAAACCTTGGTTAGGCCAATAATAGAATACGCATCCTCTGTTTGGGACCCCCTCAACTCAAGAAAACATTAAGAAACTGGAGCAGACATAAAATAGAGCAGTGAGGTTCATAACAAACGAATATTCACATTTGATCAGAGTAACACCTTTAGTATAATCACTAAATTTAGAAAGCCTTCAGGATAGAAGACTTAAAAGTAAAGTAACAATTATACATAAAACAATGAACCATAATTTTCAAATACAAAAACAAAACCTAATAAAATACTCAGAAAGACATTTCATATGCTAGGACATCTTTGTTCAAATGCTCCTTGTTCCCTAGTTCTATTAGAGCATGGATTGGGTTGCCTGGGCCAGTTTAGATGCATGACGCGTAGGATGTAATTATCTTCTTTGAAGAAACATCTGTATTTTATAAGATAAGAACTGCGAAAAAGCTTTTTTTTATTAGAAAAATTCAGAGATCTTGGGGATGCTCTGAGAACTGTCTGTTTAAACAGCTGTTATTATACACAAGCAATGTTTCTGCTCTGCCAATAACTTCATGTTGCAGAACTGGTCAAACAATCGTCATTATTCACATCAATAGTCCATGTCCTCTGTTAGTTAAACGTCTGGTAAACCTGGCAAATAAAAATGTTTTAAAAAAAAAGTGCAATTGGAACTCAATATCTGGCAACAGTAGCTGAAATGACAGGCTGTACAGTAAGGACTAAATTTAAATTATTGAAAGTAAATTATTACAATTTTTGTTGTTGTTTGTTTTTGACTTACGCTTGCAGCAAGGCTGTTGCAACAAGTTGTGATGACTTTGATCTGTTAGGTAGAAAGGGACATTCTATGTTAATTATTTTCATGTGACGTTTTGTCATTCCTTATAGCTCCTTAGTTGCTGCAATTATTTTTCATTTGTCGATTGCATTGTAAATGAAGAACAGTTTACTGGCTGCTCCAAAGTATCTAAACTTCAATGTCATTGTTTCTCAACTTGTGGATGGCTGATAGGATTACTAGCCAGCTAAACTTAAAAATTTGTAACATGCTTTTTATTGGCTTGCTTTCTTGGGAAAGAGGAGGTGAGATCCTGGGTATTGGTTAGGGTCAGAATGTTGTCACCCACACAGCATTTCCACCCCCCCCCCCCCCTCCACACAACTGTTATGTCCCAAGGAATGGCAGTAGCTGATACAGTTTGTGGTCTGCAATAGCTGATACAGTTTGTGGTCTGCAATAGCTGATATAACTGTTTGTGGTCTGCAATAGCTGATGCAGTTTGTGGTCTGCAATAGCTGATACAGTTTGTAGTCCCCAGCTTCTTATATTTGTTACCATTACGACCATGCACAATCACAATCATCCAGAACCAACACTCTATAATGCACAAGTGATGCAAATACTTTCGCACACAATTTAAGGAATGATACTGAAACTTATTATGTGCATTTCTCTGTCGGCGGTTTTAATCAATGTGTTGCATCTCAAAAGATTCCAGTTTTTTTTTTCAAAACATCAGCTCAGTATTTGACCCTGCCTTATCTGTGATTCTACTTGTTAAGTGATACATTTATATACCCAGAGCTTTGCATGGCTTCAACAATTGACTCAAATCTTTTGTCTAGGTGCTTGGGTGTAGGGGTGACTTTCTCAATTAGCTTTTCTACTTTTATTCTCTAAATAACAAATTTTATGGAATAGTTTACATAAAAAAAATTAAAGGTGCTACCCAGTATTTGTTTGTATTCTTAAATACAAAGGCTTTTAATTCATATCTCATATCATATCTCTAATCATTTGAAGTCATAATTTATCTCTAAAAATTTTTATATTGCTTTTGTACTCAAAAAACCTATTGTATTACTTCAACAAATTTGCTATGTAGCTTTTGCAATTTGAACAGTCTTTGATTGGTACATGTTTATTATGACAGTCAGCTTATAATATTTGATCAATTTGTTGTTCATCATATGTTGTTGCAGTTGCATTCTGTTCCCATCTGTGTGGGATGCCTCCTCAAGAGTTAATTTATGTTCAGTCTAAGTCAATCATGTAGTTATCTTTAGCACTGCTGTAGATTGTCCATTGTTTTGTTTTTTTCAAATAAAATAGCTGTAATACAAGATCATACTCTTTATTTCACAGCTGTAGTCAGAGTTTCTTGTTTTTTAGTTGTAGGAAGGCTGTGGTTCATCACTAAAAAAACTTTTTCGTATGACTGTTGAGCCCTATTCTGGAGGCCGTTGTTTCATCTTGTAGAGCACTGTTTTATGTGTCTGTAGAGCCCTATTTTGGAGGCCGTTGTTTCATCTTGAAGAGCACTGTTTCATGTGTCTGTAGAGCCCTATTCTGGAGAGACATTCCTATTGACATACAACTCAGGTAAAGCTTTTTTCTTCCATATCTGAGACCAATGCTTTTTCATTGTCAATAGCTTTCTTTATCACCTTCTCTCTCCTCATAGTGTGGTCTTCCCAATAGTCAACATCCATGTCCACTGCTTTGAGGTCCGGTTTGATCACATCCATAAGTTGAATGTTTGTGTGACCAGTTCTGCTTGTGGCCATTGGTAAGTTGTCCGTGGAGGTTAAGATAATGCTCTTTCTCCATCTTGTTGACAACTCCAAGCCAACTTGTGCCACCTGTTAAATATTAATTAGTCATTTCTCTTTTAATGATTTGCTGTTTTGTGTGTCCAAATTAATATTACTTAAAATAGATTTCACCGTGCTCGTTATGGTGACCTAATTTGTAAACTCATATCTTAACTTTATAAACCATGGCTGGAAAGAAAGGTGAAAATTGTTTTTTTGTAATGACTCAAATCTGTCTGCAGAATGTATTCAGAGTATGCCAATGTACGTATATGTGTTTTATAATGTACGTATATGTGTTTTACGCTCATCATTTCATTGACGGGCACGACATGGCCTAAATTGTGCCGATGTGCCTAAACTCAAACTCATTTCATTGATGGTCTTTAGTCAAAGCATATACCTTTGATTTGTATTCTCCAGTAGGTTCTTGAATGTGTCGTCTAGCTTGTAAATACCAATGATTTTTTGCAGACTTTGATTCCTGACCCCTGTGATTTAACTTATTTACCTAGTCTCCAATTAATTAGCCCATCTCTGCTTGGTGTTGGTTTGTAGAATATGTTTGATTTTATTTTTTCATTATTTTATTATTCATCTTTTGGTAATATTAAATAATTATATTTTGTTGTTAGTAAAAAAAAATAAAGTATTCATTTAATAATTCTAGCTTTAGAGGAATAAATTCTTCTAGTTTAGGATGTTTTCATTTGGCATTGTGAAAACAGTGGTCTGGGGTTTAAGTCTCGTCATATTTGTACTGGGAGTAGTGTGCAGGAAAGCGCTCCCAGGGAGGTCAATACAAGCGCAATAAAGACACTTTCAAGAGCTCCTTCAAGGATTGCTATGTCGACATTCATGATTGGAAGCACTAGCTCTTGATCGCTCCTCATGGCGTGAAGCTGTGAGTCTCGGAGTCTTGAGATTTAAAGCAAGAAGAGTGGCCAGTGTTAAAGAGCGCCGAACCAACAAAAAGCTGAGAGAAGAAGCAGGCCTATCTGCAACTAACCAAACCTACCCATGCTACTTATACTTGCCAGCTTTTTAAGGTGAGGATTTGACTAAACAGTCATCTTCGAGTTTGTAGGAAATGAGAAATGTGCTCATCTTCAATCAGGAAGGAGGATATATATATTTGTGTCCTGTTTAGGCTTAAAGGATAAGTTATCTTCAATAAGGTTATTTAAGCATAGACTAACAGTAGACTTGAGTTAGTGCAAGGTGGTAATAAAATAGGTGGATAGTTTAACTGGCTTCACAATCTCTTTACATTATGTGGTATATTCCGCAACTAGGTAGGCCTTTAAAATCACATTAGTAATGTGCTGGTCACTAATAGTCTAAATTTGATGTGACTGCTCCGGTGTTTGCGGGATATGTTCTCCGGCAAAATTCCAAGAGTTGCGATGACATGGCAGCCAATACGAGGAAAGCGCAAACAGGGACGTCCTCAAATAACTTGGCGTCACACTTTCATGGAGGACCTCAGAGCAGTGTACACCAGGTGGGACAATGCTTCAGACATTGCCAGTGACAGATCTTTGTGGAGACAGCTTGCCGCCCAATGCGCTAAACTGCATGGGAGGATCTAAGTCTAAGTCTAAAGCTGCAGTGTTGAAACTAACTAGAGAGGGAAGGTGGTTTGATGTAGAACACAGTCAGTGAAATATGACATTTCTTTGTGTTGCATTCTTGTTTTCTAGACAGATCTGCCTGATACATTGGACATTTCCTTTTTTTTTTTTTTTTGTACATAATTGAGTTATAGAGAGGTACCAAGGGGCAAATGGTAAAGGGCTAGTCTTCCAGACTGGAGGGGGTCTTGAGTTTGAATCCCAAAAAAGACTGAGAATTTGAGTTTCGGGATTTTTAGGACACCCCCAAGTCAACTTAATTGGGTACCTGACAAATATTAAGGAAGTTGAGGTGGTTGGTCTTTGTGCTGGCCATCAGCATCAGACATAGAAATAGTTTACATCTTAAGCAGATAAAATATTCTGAAAGGGATATGTTTAGATAGCTATGAAACAAACAGTAAAGAACATTTTCTAATAGCTTTTCTTTTACCCTTAAAAATCAATTTAAAATAAGATGCTTGATGTATCAAGTTGATTTTTTTTCTTTGTTGACTTTGTTTTGTATGAAATGTTTCTTTAGTATTAATGTAATACTCAATAATGTCTAGGCTTAATTATAAGATCATCATATTGTGATGTTAACTAAATGTTGAGCTGGTGAGTATGTAATCTTGTCAATATGAGATATCTCAACATCACAACTAATTTTTTTTTTTTGCAAGTTTTGGATAGTCCTTCAAAAATGTATGTTATTACGTCCTAGCCCATAATTTCTGCAGGACAGTAGGGGATGACAGTGTACAGGGGTTTAAATTTGGGGCCATTAGACAGCACAAAACCCATACCACTCCACCATGAATGCCGTAACTCAGGCTGCCATTAAATGGATCTTAACAGACTGGAGTCGGTAACCTGAATGAGATTCACCATAAAAATGTCTTTTTTATGCAGTCACATGAATTTAATAATTTGAAAATGTTCCAATTCCTACATTTCTATTGTGTTCCCCATAATAATTACTAAATGATAAATAATGTGCTTATCTGATCAAATATATTATGAAACTATTCCATACTGTGATTCATTTAAAATTGACATTGTGATGTATGAATGTTTGTATCTTGTCAGTTTTTGTATAATATCTGGGCTGAAATAAAAGTCAGTTTAATAAACAAAATATGATGTGAAGTGAATATTTTATCTCATTAATTGATATAATTGTAGTGTTTTAGTACAATCTTAAGAAAACTACTAAAGAAAACTTCAGTCTTACTCAAGCTAAAAGAGCCACTCTGTTACATGCGACTTCGAAGCTTAAATTTTCTCTTCTTGGACATCATTTATTTGAAGTGCTAACAATGATGTCGTATTGTCTATCTTGTACAGTTTTCTATTGTACATTTTTGCCCTATTGTAATTTCCTATCTCTAGCAACTCTACACCACAATAAATAAAACTATTTCCACTAGTTATGTATCTTCACAAAAACATTCTCTACAAAAGCACAAAGAACTGTGTAAACATAAAATTTTACCTCCCCTAATCACATTCAAAGACCGCATCACAAACCAAGAGATTAGAGACAGGGTTACTGCAGCAATTGGACCCCACGATGACCTGCTAACTATCGTAAAAAATGTGCCAGCTTAAACTCTATGGCCATATTACAAGATCTTGGGTGCTCGCTTAGACCTTCCTTCAGGGAACAGTACCAGGAAAAAGAGGCAGACAAAACGATGGGAGGACAACGTAAAAGAGTAGACAGGCCTGCCATTGATAGAGTTTTTAATTAAGGCAAAGGACATAGAGGAATGGAGAAACACCGTGGACAAATCTTGTGTGGTGCCCCAACGGTCCAGCAGACTAAGGGATAAGCAAAGGTAAAAAGGTGAACACCATGAGCTATTTTTAGCTCTTCACTGTCAAATTTTGTTAAGTTTCAGAGAAAAAAAATGGTTTTGATTTTGTACTTTTTCACATTTTATTGCATCATAGAAGCTTTGTTTAATAACTCTCGGTCAGCAGTAACTGGAGATGGCAGAATGGCTGCCTTGTCGTGTGGTGTGCGCCTCCGACTGTCTTCACCATGATCCCGAGTTCTAATCCAACAAGAGGTGATAGGCTTCATTTTAAATTTAGAAAATAAGAAACAAAAAAAGGCATTTGGCAAATGTTTTAATTCATCTTGTAAATCATTTAACTTCACACACATATTTTAAAAAAAAAAATATTCTTGTAAAACCAAAAGAACAAAAATAAATCACTTAAATAACATAAGTTAATCATAAAACTGATTAGACTGTATACAACTAAATATATATGGCATTTTATCAACTACAAACATTGATGAATATATGCAACTGTATAAAAACAAAATGAATGGGGAAGAGCCTACATCTGTAAGCCACTAGATGTTTATCACAGTAGGCCAGAGTCTATGAGCAAAACTTAGAACACACAAATGAGGCTCGAGTTTGAATGATTCTGTGAACTAGAACAGTGGTGCCCAATCTTTGTCTGGCTTGAGACCATAAAATTTCAGGCATGTGTATCATGAGCCCTCTTACCACCACAAATACCCTCTTCAGTGAAATCGAGCCTCTAGGTTTACATAAATGACTGAGTGTCAATTCTAAATGACTGGATGGCAGCAGGTTACAGGCCAAATATGGTCCACAGTCCATAGTTTGGAAACAGAATGGGTACAGTTACCATTCTCTAACTCCATTAGTACTAACCTCTCTGAAATGTTTTTGAGATTACTGAGTGTAAATTCTTAATGACTGGATGGCAGCAGATTACAGGCCAAATAAGGTCCACAGTCCATAGTTTGGAAACAGAATGGCTATACTTAGAGGTACAGTTACCAGTTTCTAACTCCATTAGTACTAACTTCTCTGAAATGTTTTTAAGAAGATGCAAACAAGTTTGTTTCCTTTGCACTATCCTAGTTAACCATTGGCCATATGAACAACTTGACATCATCTGACACCATAGATCACAAAGTCTGAAAGGGGTGCATTTACTTTACTACTGATGCCAAGCAGATGGGCAAGACATGGGGACATTGGAGAGACTCACCCAGAAGACACCTTGGAGGAAGATGGTTGCTGGCTTAAACCCCAGACTGAACGATGCGAATTGCAAACTGAACACAAGATCAATCCAGTTGTCTTATACCTTTTAGGAAACTAACTTTATAGGGGTATACAGTTTTATGAATATATTCTTATTTATATAGCAATATAAATTTATACTTTTATAATTCTTGGCACTTTTAGGTTTTGCCTTTTACAAAACTTCTTAGCACTTTCTTTAGAACTTTCAAAAGCCCAACATTTCAGCTAATAACCAGAGCCCCCTCTGTATGACAGGGAAAAAAGCAGATGTGCTGGGACTTAAACTTAGACCGCTTCATCTTAAATCCCAAACACAAAGAATGACTAGCCGGCAGTAAAAAAAAAAATATAATTTATCTTTGGTCTATTGCAGATTCTGACCTTCTAGTAACATTATTGAAAACTACCATAATGATTTCATAAATTGAAATCATTGTCTGAAACAAGTCAAACATTCGAAAAAAAATAAGATGAAACTTAAACACAATGATAATTGCAAATGTTTGTACAAAGAACACTTAAGAAATGTTTAAACCAAGACAAATATAAACTCACTAATTCCCAGTCTGTACATAATTATGATCCATGAATTAGAATCAGCTAAAATATTTTATTTTAAATTTCTCATGAATGTTAATCAATGTGCATTGCCTACTTTAATTTAGTATTTTCACTAAGAAAAGGTAACGAGTGCATTACAAAATAGGTTTAGAACTAAAATTTTCTATTTTATCAACTCTAATTTATTTTTTTTTACTACAACCTCTAAACTAATAAACATTCTTAGGCAAATTTCTAACAATTATCTAGAAACGACAGAAATGTTTTTTTTAACTATATAAGTGTTTAATTATTGAAAAACAAAATGATTTGTTTTTTTAGCAGGTTTAAAAAAAACTGTCAACATTACTTTTGGGACCCTTTCATCTAAAAACTTACCTAAAAACTTTAAAAAGAGATTAAGTAATAAGTTAATGTAAACTTTCAATTATCCTCAGACATAATGAGAATTGGCTTTTCAATTTAAATTTAAAAACAAGAGAATATTTTTAAAATACTTTTTAAAAAACCATTATGGCTGCCTGGTCGTGCGGTTTGCGCGCTGGACTGTCGTTTGGATTTATCCACAGTCGAGGGTTCAAACCCTGCCCGCTCCCATCCCCCGTCGTCCTGCGAGAGGTTTGGACTAGGAAGTAAACTATCTTCAACTCTGAAGGAACATCCGAATTATGTAAAACATTTTACAAACAAAACATTTTACAAACATTAAGTGTAGTTGTATCAATTAGTTCATGTAATATGATTTGTGATAGATCTAGACTAACAATAATTCGAACTCATGGCTCAAGCCTTCTCAGGCTTCTGAAGCTGGAAAATTGTATAGTTAGCTATTGTTTCTATAGTCCTATCCTATGTGTTCACTACGACTCAGACAGCGACCTATAAAGGGAACAGATTGAAGCTGATGATTTTTCATAAGAGTGATTACTTTGCTCGTAATAGTTACTGAATGATATAGATCAAAAAGAACATTTTTTACTCTGCCCAATCCTCCATGCTCCCAAGATATGCATAAACTTCCAATTTCTATTATCATCAATTTTCAAGATCCATGGCCACCTATCCTAACTCCATGAAAAGTTTTGATAAGAGCAAATGTAAAAAAATAACATGCAGTTTGGAATTCTAGTGAATAATAGCAATATTGAGCTTATATTATGTTTTTTTTTGGTCCTGTAATGTATGGTAATGCATATAAACACTACACTACGTATTAAGTAGGCTACTTCTAATGGCCTGTGTTAACAGCCCTATAGAAATTAAATCAAATTATTAAACAAATAGATCTACACATCTTTGTCTTTAAATTTTTTGATGTAGTTGCTTTTAATATTAATTTTACAAATCAACCTCAAGTAAATGTACAATGAATCCTTGAAGGATTCTCTGTAATTGCAAATGTTTACTAATTATTATAATAAATTGAAGAACCCCACTTTTACTTTTCCACAACTAATGTCAGTTACCCATTAAAGTTGATTGGACACCGATGTGCCCTAAAGATTCCAAAATCATCTCTTCACGTGTCAAAAATAATAATAAAAAATACATCATACACATTTAAACAAGTTTACTGACTATAAATGTTAAGATCACATGTAAGTTGATTTTGTATTCAAAGAAAAGCTAGTTTAAAAAAATAGAAATCTGTATATTGTAAAAAAAAATGTGAAATAGAAACATCACAAAAATGAATAAAAAAATATCCTATCACCGGAAACTTAATTGTGAAATGCAGATTAATCTGTTTTAAAAGGTTATACCACTACTTGTGATTAACTTGGATCCAATTCACTGGCCAATGCATATGATTACACTAGTTTGTGGTCTTTAACAAACTAAAAGTTTTGCGCATGTAAGTTTCTATAGTAGCATGACAGACTTGATGTTACTTTATAGAAGGAGCACTCTTCTATTCAGATGTGTCTATTACATAATTTTTTAATTTGGACTATAAATCTTCTTCTGAGAAGTGAAAAATTTAGAATTGGGTCTCAAGTATAAATGTTTCAGTACTTAACCAGGAGCTGACCCCCCCCCCCCCCCTTTTTCCCAGAGCTCTGAATGTATATCAAAAATTATAGTTTTAAGAACAGCTTAAAAAAATAATTTTGATTGGTTGTAGTCAGTAATGATGTTCTTGGCAGGTGTTTAAATGAATGTGTGATAAAAAATACAATAAAAATATCTTATTTTTATTTCAATTATAAAGGGACACTGCTATTAAGTACAACTCATGTATCAAAATATAAAAATTTGCTATTTTTTAAGAATCATAAAAATTTTGTATAGGGAGCATCCGCAAACAAACAACAACAAAATATGTGCAGAGGAAAAAAGACATCATAATAAAATTGAATAATGTAGCTTTTGGTTCTAGACTTAATCACTTAAATGCAGTATCCTACCTACATTTTGATACCCTATAGTATGAGTACCAGGGGAGTAAAAATTATTTTTATCAGGTAGGCCAGATTAAGCTTAGCTAAATTAATAAAACAAATGTATAAAACTCATGGCCCT